TTTTTTAATTAATTTGTTATATGGGGTCTTTGCCTTGAAAATGACCTTACGGTATGATGTTCCGTAAGGTCATTTTCAAGGCAAAGACCCCATATGTTAATTATTTTTTTATACTTTAGTCTTTCGAAATTTGACATAAAAAAAAATTATCGGTTTCGGCGATATTTTAAATAGAAAGCTAAAACTAAAGTTGATATTCATTAATATTGGCATAATTTTACAACAACATCAAAGAAAGAGAGCATGCAACGGTGTAGTATTCATTTCGATAGAAAACTTTTTCTTCAAAAATAGTATTAATCATAAAATTTTAAATTTATTAAGAAAATCGAAAATGATAAGCTGGAAACTATTCTAAAAATAATTAATACAAAAGAAGCAGATAGATGATGTTGATTATTTTAAAAGAAGAAAATAATACGAATAAGTAGAAAGAACTACTTAGTGACTGTGAAGATCCAACAACATTTACTGTTACATCTATTGTTTATTACCATCACATTCTTCATCTGCATAAAGAAAAAAGTCTTTAATATGAAAAAAATATATAGTTCTTACAGTAAATTCCTGTACTTATTTTTTCACATCAATAAAGTTAACTATAATGTATCGAATTTTGCACACGTAATAACGTTTGTATTTGTAATTGCTGTTTTGAGATTTTATTTATTATTCATTATTTTGCCGTCCTGTAATGAGTTATACATTTAAATACACTATGAAGTATATAATAACATGCGATTTGCGACTTGTGACTGATTCATTGAAAGAATGAAATTTCGAACTTGAAGTTGCAGACAATGAACTCAGCTAGTTATAAAACAGGATTGGGCGGAACTTAAAAAAAAAATTTGAAGTTTAACCAATAATTAAGTCTCCAAAAATATTGAATCGCATTGGAATTTCAAGGAAGTCAGTACCAGTTTCATAACACTGGTTGGTATAAAAATATCAAATGGAATATTCTGTCATGTTGCACATATAGATAAAGACATATATTTACTTCTGAATCCGGTCAGATTTCTAGACTTAACGTTATCCCTATACATATTACCTGATCTGGTAATGTGCCTATATAACAGATAATTACAACAGTTACTTTTAATAAACATTTTTGGTCTATGTATACGTATATGCTGTACGTACTGTACATACCACATCCTCCACGAATTATGTGCCTGATCGACTCATTGATAATTTACATAATAATTTTATGTGCATTGGTTAAATTTGATCTGTTGGTTGTATTATATTATAATTGCTATTTTTTTAACGCCTTACTGTCTTCATAAATTCTGAGACACCTAAAAGTTTCCCGAAACCTCTTCGATCTTGTTCTATGAATCACCTAATCTTCAAAAGCTATTTCACTGTCTCTGAATCGAAGTTCCAAGGATAGCGAGGTGGTTTCCGGAAAGTTAGGTAATTTTTACCATGAGATCGAAGAAGCTTCGGGAAACAAGTAAATTTTTAAGTGTCCTAGAATTTGTTGTAAATCCGGATTTAATTGTATTAACGGTAAGTCTAAACCAATCAGCATCAGTCACGGGAAAGGAAACATCAAACTCGAATGCCTCAAGTCAAATTTATTACGGTAATCCCTTCAATTTGATTTTTCCTAGTGCAATGGTGACCACAGTTTTAGGAATACAAACAATTGGGTCACTACCTAAAAAAGCCAGGACATGATATAGATATTTTAGAACTTGAATTGCCACGCATAAAGCCCGAAAACAAGAAACGTGATAAAATTTTTGAAACGATCCTTAATATTTTTAATGTTGAAATTATTGACAATAAATTGTTCATACCATTTTTTTTTTATAATTATTTTACATGCATTTTCTAATTCTTTGTTACTATTCAAGTTTAATAGCGGGATTTAATCAGAAGTACATAAGAAAGTGGTGTGTTCGCTTGATCAAAAACTTCCAACTTGGTGGAATCAGATTGATACAGTATGGTTAATGGTAATTAGTGTCGATTGATGTAGGTGGTTAGAACCCTAAACCAGTACGTAATCAAAGAATTAAACCTATAACTAATTCATGTCCACCACCGTTGCTGTGAAGATCTTATTCCCTTATCTTCAGAACTATGCAACTATTTCTTGACAATCGGCTAAAATATTGATGACAATTCTGGTGATCGTGATAATGCCATAAATAAATTAGCACTCATTCAACCCCACTGTCCGACCAGAATTTGTAATAATCATTGTTCCGGCTATTGAAACCGTCTTTCCAGTAAACTCAAACCCAGCATCGTTTCAGTGGCGACAACTAGAGATTTGAACCGTGACTAATTATTCAAAAATTTCGAGCATCGAAAATAAGCTTTCAGTCACTGAGTTTTTAATTCGGCTATCATCGAGCATCAGTGAAAGTTAAATTTAACTATTTGTTTTGATAAATAACATAATGATACATTTTTTGATTGAAATTTAACTTTGGTAATGATAACATGATTATATAATTGATAAATTATATATTAAAAATGTAGTGATAATAATACAATTGATAAATATTACTAAATTTTTTCAAACATTCGAACATCGGTCAAACCGATGCTCGAAATTCTAGAGTTTGTGATCAATCAATGCTCGAAACTCACCGGTTCCAACCTCTAACGACAACACCCAAAACGGCTTGTCCTTCTCGTGCTTCGTATCTTGGCCACTTGCCCGTGGAAAATATTATACTGCAATTCAATGGTATAGACATCTTGTATTAGAGTGTGGAACATAATCAACAAATCAAATTATTATTGTTTATCATACTTTCTTTATTGTGCACAAAAATTTATATGATCTGTGTTAGTGATATCAGTATTGGAACCTAATTTGCAATGAAGAACATAAGGATTTGCTATGTGACGAAATGAAAAATTTAAATTTGCATCGATGAATTATAGCAGTAAAAACTATTATATAACCACATTGTTATTGCAAAGCAGATAATTATTTGTTTAATAATGCTATAATGTTATTGATTACAAATTTGCACGATATAAACCTATATTACACATTATACGGTCACAGATCTGATATGGACAAACTTTATTAATTCGTTATTATGCATGTATAAATAAATAAAAGTCCGTTTTATGTTCGTTAACCGATCAATCAGTGAAATCAGCAATAGGAGATACGATGTATCAGTGATTCAAAGCTATGCTTTTTCGAATTTTTCTATCATAACGTCCCAACTCAACTTGGAGATTCGTAATGCTGAATATAATTTACCCCTTCTATTTTATCATCACTAATTGCAGAAAAGAAGTTAATTTTTCTTGCTCTTTCTATTTTTTCTTGCAAAATTTAACATCAATAGTTTAATAATCAGGTATCCGATTTTAGATAAAATAAGTGATGTATTTAATTCAAAACAAATCTATAAATTCTATTTTCTTTAAAAATACATACCGTAAAATATGGAAAATAAGCACAGCACCCTCTACCCTGCTTTTTTCAATTCCAGATTAACGGGGATAACTTGATTAAAGATTTTATTGCTATCTCCGCTAATCTGAAATTGAAAAAAGTAGGGTAGAGGGTACTGTGCTTATTCATATTTTACTACATAACCGCTTACTGATAGATACTAATCAAAAAAAGCCAAACTTTATCACCGGGCACGTCTATTTAATTTTCTTATTTGGAATTCACTTTCCACATACTAACAAAAAAATTCACTAAACCTATAACTAACCCTAACCGGGATATATTTTAAAAGAAAGTGGGAACATAATTAGTAAATTCATGACTCTATCAAGTCGTGACTGTATATTAGATAGGTTAGACCACTTACATTATGATAACAGTATACGTAATAAAATTTTTGTAACCCAAATTTGTCACACAGGGTTTGAAATTATAAATTTGTAGAATATGTTTCATTTTTCTCCTTTAATTTAAACGTTCAACAAAAGTCGAAATGTCCGCTAATAAAGAGAATTCCGCAATAATTGACGAGTGCCAAGACTTAAACCAAGAAACGCTTAATGAAAAAAATTCAGACACTATCATCTCTCCATCTTCTAAACAAATTATAAAGGAACAACCTTCACCCCAAAACATTCAAATTCCTCTAAAGCCTATTACGTTTCCTACCTGTTGCTCAGAAGGGAATTCTCCAACCTCTGCACCTTGTGAATCAGCCTACTTTGATGTGTATGGAATTTCATCTATACCTGTTACATCAAGTTGTTGCATAAAATCGGAAATCAAAAATGATAACGATAATTAGTTAATATCGATATAATAAATATGGCTAAAACGATCGAACCAAATTCCTTATGGTTCAGCAATTCTTTTCACATTTTTATTTTATAATTTATCAATAGATGCATGTAAAACAATTGTTAATTTTTTTTCACTTTATAAATTATGATTTAAACGATTTTAACTTCTTTTATGGCGTATATTTGCTTTACACTATTGTATATTATTTTTTTTTTTCTAAAATTGATAAAAGGTGAATGTACTGTATATCGATATTTATCCCATATACAAAAATAATTAAAATATTATACACTAGCTTTGAGCAGAAGAATAATCTATAGAACCAATTTCTTGTGTGTACGGTTATAAAAGAAAAGATTCTACAGATCGGTTAAAGAATAATAATATAATAATAATAATAATAATAAAGGAAAAATTAAAAATGATAATTAAATAAATGGTTTAAATATTTAATTTGTATCAAGAATCAAAGTCATATGCAATATTTCTTTTAAAATCTAACATCGTTATTCTATGGTAATTAATAAGACTTCTGTGAATTATATTATCATAATTTTCTATCATAAGAAATTACGATTTGTAATTAAAAAAAAAAGAGAATGCAAAGTTGTCAAAAAGAAGTGCGGCTACGTACATTAAAAGCCGCGAGGGTGAATTAAAGGTTTGAGATTATGATTAATATTTCCTTGACTATTATTATTATTATCCGCATGGTTCGATTTGGAAAAAACTCCAGCAACGGCAAGGATGACAAGAATGAAAAGTAATAATACAATAACCCCTAAAATGATTAAATTTATTCTTTTATGTCGAAGCCATTTATTTTCTACCCATTTATGAAATTTTTTTAATCGTTTTTCTTCTTTATTGGGAATTGGTTCTGGCAAACTTGGCAATTCCTTATCAACAATAATCGTACTTCTACGTTGTGAAGACATAGAATGTCGTGGTGGTGGTCCGTCACCTTCCCATTCTTCTTCTACAATTTCAATAAATTCTTCTCTTTCATTATCATAAATTGTATATTTATGTATTTTTACTAATTGGTTTTCCTCTTTACGATTTAGAAAAGAAAGTGACCGTCCTAACAATGACTTGGACTTTTTATGATTATTTGACTCTTCTTGGTCCGTTATGGATGTTGATGATGGTATGCCAACTTTGGCTGCTTTTGGAGGTACTCCATTACTTTCCTTTATTAATGTTGTTTGTTCATTTTCATCTCCTTCTAAAGAAACGTTTTCAAGCGTTTCTGCTGAATTTGTGGATAATCGTGTAGGAGGAAGAGGTTTTAATGTAATCTTTGAATGAGATGTGTTTGTAGTCAAAACGGTTTCAGGTATTGAATGTTGATGCGTGCTCATTGGGTACCAACTGGATAGCAAAAATAACAAACTTCTTTCTTTCGGATAAGTTTTTTTTTTTTCTTGGAGAACCTTGTTTTTTTTTTTTTTACCTCCAAAAAGGAACACCTATACATTTATTAAATGTAGATTTGTTTATTTTCTACATGCAGAAAAAAGATCAACATTATAAAATATATGTTCGAACAATGCTTGATTGTAGCACTGTTTATGATACATAACCAATCCATATTTCTTTAATTCGTAGTTTAAGTACTCAATGTATGATTAAAGAGGATTAGCAATTACACGACATATTAGAGCAATATACATATACAGTATATATATATAATACGTACGGTCATCTTATATAACTAATTTTTTTTTTTTAAAAAAAAAAAAATTTTTAAAAAATAGTGGCATGGTTGTATCTCTTATTTAATTAACTAATAATTAAAATATAGATTAAATATAATAAAGCATAAAATTTTTAAAAAATTTTAATTTACAATATATTAAATCTAGTCAAACTTCTTTGATAATAAGTTTAAGATATAAATAGGGGATTGATACACGTACACTCCCCTGACATAGTCACCGGATTTTTTTGGTAACGTATCATTTTTTTTTGCAGGTTTTTGATTTGCAAATTCTCAACAAACTACATATTAATTCGGGTCAAAATTTTTTTATT